CCCCTACCCCGGGCTCTCGGCCGATGGAATGCCTGGAAACGTGGTGGGCATAGATCAACAAGGGGAACTCCCCCTTCCATGCCCAACCAGGTCTCGGTGATACCTGCCAGGTCCGCTCCCCCCTCTTGGATCAGCTCTTGAATGAGGGGGGCCTTATTTACTACGGACCTGGCATATACAAATAAATAAATAAATAAAATAGAATAACACAGAGGTCTGCAACCTTCCTTGGTTGGCAGACCGGAGGGAAGGGGACGGGGAAGCATTTTATGTGCACATGTGTGCGCACACAAACAGGGAGGTGCTAACGCCCTCATGACACTTGCTAGCTCTGCCCAGTTTTTTCTGTGCGGGCACAAGCACTGCCCTGTTTTTGTCATGCAGCGCCCTGTTTTCACTACACGGCGCCCCGTTTGTGTAGCAGCAGAGGCACTAGCGCGAGTGGGGGTGAGCACATGCACACATGTGCACACACTGGCCAGTCTATTCCGTGGCCAGTGGGCCGGGGCCCACAGGTTGGGGACCCCTGGAATAACACACCCACTGCTTTTGTTGTAGTAAAAAAGTACTGTTAAAATAGAATCTTTGTTCTCATAAAATATTTAACACTAGGTGGCAGAATGATTCTAGATTTAATACAAAACATGCACGGAAGTGCGATTTATATCATAACTACCAATATTAGTATTCAGTCTTAAATGTGAAATAGTTGCTATCTACCTTTGCTCATTTTAGTGTAATATTCATAAAATGATAATTGGCAATGACATTGTGGCTTTATATAAATATATTTGTAGATATGGTGATGGAAAGTACAATAACATGCTTTTTGATGGTAGTTTACTTGCCACTAGATGTCACTGTGAAATAGTAGTTGGGTTTTTTACTATATTAAACTCTAAACTGCTTGAGAACTTGTTTTAATAGTAGCAGACATCTCAGTTTATCAACCAGATTTTTTTAGAAAGGTATGCTTATGATTTATTTAAAAGAAATACTTGCCTGATATAGATGTTAATCTTAATTGTTTTGCTTTTAATACCTTATTTTTAAAATTCTGGACATTGTGAATAATGGAAAAGAGAAAAATCAGAATATAGAATAACAGAGTTTGAAGGGACCTTGAGATGTTCTAGTCCAACCTCTGCTGAAGCAGGAGACCCTATACCATTTCAGACAAATAGTTGTCCAGTCCCTTCTTAAAAACCTCCAGGGATGATAATTAATTGTTCCCATTGTCAGGAAATTTCTCCTTAATTCTAGGTTAGATCTCTCTTTGATAAGTTTTCATCAGTTACTTCTTGTCCTGCCCTCTGGTGCTTTGGAGGATAGGTCGACTCTCTCTTCTCTGTGCCCCTGAAATACTGGAAGACTGCTACCATCTCACCCATAGTTCTTCTCTTCGTTAGAGTATACATAACCAGTTTCAGTATTGCAATAAATATTTGTTTGCATTGTGTTCAATATTAAAAATAAATACTTTGTTAATAGAATGTAAAAAAATATAAAACAGTGGAATATTCACCCTGAATAATAAACTTGAACTTTCAGACTTTTGAATTTAAAATTCAGTCATCAGTTGAAAGGAAGAATGCATATTTCTTTGTTTATAAAAAGGGTATTCATAAAGAATATACAAACACAGCAAATTTGGGTTTCTGTAGCACATCTGCTTATGTTAAAACTACAGATTTTTTGAATAATAACCTAGAAGTCAAGTCATTATTTGAATGTACCAATTTCATGCCAAGATGCAGAAGTTGATAGAATTGGTGTTTTAGTAGCATTTCTGAATTGAATTAGAGATAGAAATATATTAGCATGGAACTAAAACAGTGATAGCTTTAGGTCAGTAAAACAAAAGCAAAGCTGAACTAGTTTGAAGTCCTTGATAATATTTTTGGAAACTTCTGTTGGATCTTGTCTTGGCTTAGAACAGGGGTAGGCAACTTTGGCTCTTTTATGACTCGTGGACTTCAACTCCCAGAATTCCTGAGCCAGTCATGCTGCTTCAGGAATTCTGGGAGTTGGTCCATGAGTCAAAAAAGAGCCAAGGTTGCCTATGCCTGGCTCAGAAGGTAATGTCAGACCTAATCAGTACTTAGTCACCAAAGAATACCATGGCTGCAGGATATACTGGAAAGGCAATTGCAAATCATTCTATATTATTGCCATATACTTACCAGTGGAAATTGGAAGAAGACATGGGCTGCTTTTTGAAATTTCAGTTGATTCACAATATGGTGGTTACATTAACTGGTGTATAATTTTATGCTGTAAATAAAAACAGGTTTTTCTCTTAATGGATAACTGCTACAAGGGGGAAAAATGGAGCTTTGATCTATTTAATAGATCATATGCAAGAGACATGAATAAGACTTTCCAACTGATGGATACTAATTTTTTTTCTGAATTTGTATTTGTATTCATATATTCTTTATTTAAATTAGTTTTATTGAAATTAATATTGGAAATCTTGGTCGTAAATATTCATAAAAAATAAGTAACAAAATTGTATGTTGCAGGTGCAAATACTGGCACTACGATGAAAACCTTCTCACCTCCAGCGTTATCATTGTCTTCCATAATGAAGGGTGGTCTACACTCATGCGGACAGTTCATAGTGTCATTAAAAGAACTCCAAGAAAATATCTGGCTGAAATTGTTTTAATTGATGATTTTAGTAATAAAGGTAAATGCATTTAACATCAGTATGAAACCAAGGTTGGATCTAGCAAACTTGAGGTAGCAGAAATACTGAGCTGATATCCAGCTCTTTCTGTTCCTATTTAGAAAGCAACTTGAGGAGTATTGGGCTCTTAATCTATAGACATCATAGAATGCTTGTCACTGTAACTGTATGAATTTGTGTACTTTGTATTGCCCATAAATATCATTTAGATGAAATAAGTTAAATACTAGGTCTTTATAAATATATCATTCAGTTCATTTAGCACTGCATTATATGTTGCTACTATGTGAACTTTTAGATAAGGTTTTAATTTGATAAATAATGAGATAATTAGGTATTATCTTCAATTTTGAGATGTATTGTGTGACCGAATTGAATTGAAGACCTTGAATTGGATAAGGAGCATGGTTAATGGATTAGTAATAGTGGATTCAGTGGATAGCCTAAATCAAAGTTAATAAACTTTTCAGGAAGAGTTAATACAAGTAGTCCTTGACCACAATTGAGCCCAAAATTTATGTTGCTAAGTGAAACAGTTGTGAGTTTTGCCCATTTTATGACCTGTCTTGTCACAGTTGTTATGTGAATCACTGTAGTTCTTAAGTTAGTAACACAGTTGTTAAGTGAATCCACCTTTCCCATTGATGGTGATCACATGACCCCAGCACCCTGTAACCCTCATAAATATGAACCAGTTGCCAAGTATGCAAATTTTGATCATGTGACAATGGGGATGCTGTAATGATCATAAGTATAAAAAACGGTCATAAGTGACTTTTTCAGTGCTATTGTAACTTCAAACGGTCACTAAATGAATGATTGTAAATTGAGAACTACCTGTAGATAGCTGTATGTACAGACATATTTCATTAGATTTTTTAAAGGTATAGTATGAAAAATTTGGGAAGATTATTGCAGTTAAACCATGTAGATAACTAAAGTAAATATGGCTGTAGCAATTTAAATAATACCATATATATTTCAGTCATTGCCTTTTTTTGCTGAAATAGTGCCTATTGCATTTGGGAAGATATGCTTATCTCCTTCAAAATCACAATTCATAATTCCTTGTAAGGAGTCTATGCAGAATTGTGAATGATCATTTTAATATAGTACAGGTAGTCCTCGAAGTATGAACCTAATGGAGTCTAGGTTCGCAAGTCAAAAAATCCATCAAATGAATCAGATTCAACTTTACAAATTTTTAAAATCAAATTCATTGATTAAATCAAATGGATCGTTAAATGAACAAAGATCTGACTTATTATTTCCTCTGCTTTGTTAATTGATCTCTGCTTGAACTGAGAGGCCTTCCCACTGCTGACGGCCACCCATCAGCTGTTTGCTCAGGAACTAAATGCCTGCAAGCAGGCTGCATCTCCTTTTGCAAAGATTTTTGCAGTTGCCACTAATTAGCTTAAGTCTCCAGCCAGGCACTCAGAGGGAGATGGTTTGCAACAGTAACAGAGATGGAAGGGACCTTGAGATCATCTAATCCAGGGGTCCCCAACCTGAGGGTCGCGGCCCACTACCGGGCTGTGGCCTGCTGGCCAGCAGGCTGCGGAACAGGCAGACCAGTGCACGCACGTGTGTGCACACGCTTACCCCAACTTGTGTTAGAGCTGCTGCCACTACGCATCGGGGCGCCACGTGGCAAAAACGGGGCAGTGCTAGTGCCCGCGCAGCAAAAACTGGGCGGTGCTAGCAAGTCACGCAGGCGCTAGCACCACCTCGTTTGCATCATGCGTACTCATGGCTCCATTTGTGTGTGCATACGCATGTGCGTAAATGCTTCCCCCTTCCTTTCCTTCCAGTCCGCCAACTGAGAAAGGTTGGAGACCTCTGATCTAGTCTAACCCACTGCTCTCACATGAGAGTGCTGAATTTCTGATAAATGCCTATCCAGTCTCTTCTTAAAAGTTTTCAGTAATGAGCCCCACAACTTCTGGAGGCAGTAATATATGCTAATCTCCAAAATAAAAGCAAGAAAACACAACATTATAGCATGCTTTTTGAGGAGGCTGGCTAGCATTTCTACAAGTACTGTAATTAGAAACACAATAGTAAGTACATAAAAAGAAGAGCAGTTTCCAAAGTGTTTGCAAACTGTTTCTTACTTACTTACATTCTAGATTAACAAAAACAACAAAATTTAAAATACTTATAGAAGCAGTTCTAATCCTGAAACCCAAGCAGCAGTAGATTCTCCACCTGAACCAACAAAAAAAAACCTCGGCGCCGGCTCAGCCCTACCTTTGGTCCATGGTCACATAGCCAAACAAGAGCCGGTGCCGAGTTTTTTTGTTGGTGTTGGTGGAGAATCTGCTGCTGCTTGGGCTTCAGGACTAGAACTGCTTCTATAAGTATTTTAAATTTTTTTGTTGCCCAGGCAAGTCACAGAGTTCAAAATGGCCACAGCTGCAGCAGGGACTGAATTCAAGTCACATGGCTACATAGGCCTCTTTTTGTTCGCAGTTTTGAATTTCTAACATAAGTACCCTTTCTGAATTAATTAAGAAACTTTCATACCTGGAGGATTACCTGTTTTTTAAACATAGCATTCCAGTAAAAATAGTAATCAGTGCAAATATTTTCCTGTATTTTTGATTATCCTGTATTTTGTATATCAAAGAGACATAGTCATGCGATCTTTACATCCCATGTAAAGTTTTGGGTTTTTTTGTTTATTATATTTATTTATTTATTTATTTAATAATAATAATAACAATAATAATAAAGTTGGAAGGGACCTTGGAAGTCATCGTCCAACCCCCCTGCTCAGGCAGGAAACCCTATAACATTTCAGACAAATGGCTGTCCAGTCTCTTCTTAAAAACTTCCAGTGTTAGAACATTCACAGCTTGTGGAGGCAAATTGTTCCACTGATTAATTGTTCTAATTATCAGGAAATTTCTCCTTAGTTCTAGGTTGCTTCTCTCTTTGGTTAGTTTCTATCTGTTGCTTCTTCAGGTGCTTTGGAGAATAGCTTGACTCCCTCTTCTTTGTGGCAGCCTCTGAGATATTGGAACACTTCTATCATGTCACCCCTTCTCTTCATTAGACTAGACATTCCCAATTCCAGCAACCGTTCCTTATATGTTTTTGCCTCCAGTCCCCTAATCATCTTTGTTGCTCTTCTCTGTACTCTTTCTAGAGTCTCAACATCTTTTTTACATTGTGACCAAAACTGGATGCAGTATTCCAGTATTCTATCCCTCTGTTAATGCAGCCTAACACTGTGTTGGCTTTTTTGGCAGCTGCAGCATACTGCTGGCTCATATTTAAATGATTGTCCACTAGAACTCCGAGATCCCTCTCACAGTTGCTACTATTGAGCAAGATACCCCCTATACTATACCTATACTATACCTGTGCATTTGGTGTTTCTTGCCTAAATGTAGAACCTTACTTTTTTCACCATTGAATTTCATTTTGTTAGACAGCGCCCAATGTTCAAGTCTGTCAAGATCCTTCTGTATCCTAAGCCTATCTCCTGGAGTGTTGGCTATTCCTGCCAGCTTGGTATCATCTGCAAATTTGATGAGTTCCCCATCTATCCCCTCATCCAAATTGTTGATGAAGATCTTGAAGAGCACTGGGCCCAGAACAGAGCCCTGGGGCACCCCACTACACACTTCCATGTAATGCAGTTCCATTGAGGACCACACACTGAGTATGGCTGGTCAGCCAGCTATGAATCCATCTGGAGGTGATGCTGTCTAACCCACATTTTTCTATCTTATCAAGTAGTAGGTTGTGGTCTACTTTATCAAATGCCTTACTAAAGTCCAAGTAAATTATATCCACAACATATCCACAACATTCTTCTGGTCCACTAATTTTGTCACCTGGTCAAAAAATGCAATAAAATTTGTCTGGCATGATCTGTTTTTGACAAACCCATATTGGCTTTTGGTAATGACTTTGTTTGCCTCTAGGTATTCACTGATTCGTTGCTTGATTATCTTTTCTAGAGTCTTCCCAGGTATTGAGGTCAGGCTGTAGTTTCCTGGATCCATTTTTTTCTCCTTTTTTGAAGATGGGAACTACATCAGCTCATTTCCAGTCCTCTAGTAGTTCCCCAGTGCTCCAAGATCTTTGAAAGATATAGTTCAGAGGTTCTGAGATCACATCTGCCAGTTCCTTCAGAACCGTGGGGTATAGTCCATCTGGTCCTGGTGATTTGAACTCATCTAGGATAGACAGGTGCTCACTTACTATTTTCTTGCCTATCTTAACTTGTTTTTGTAATCTGTTTTTTACAGTACTGTTTTTGATAGGTTGGACTGTTTTTTCCCTTTGTGTAAATAAGGATGCAAAAAGTGAGATGAGTAGTTTGCTTTCTCCCTGTTGCTTGTCACCTTCTTGCCACTTTCTCCCACTAATGGACCAATCATTTCCTTTACTTTTTTCTTGTTTTTTACATGTTGAAAGAAGCTTTTTTTTGTTATTTTTTACTTTTGTTGCAAGCCTTGTTGCAAGTTCATTTTGAGCCGTAGCTTTCCTCACTTCATCTTTGCAAGCTCGGGCTATTTGCTGATATTCTGCCTTAGTTATGTGCCCCTCTTTCCACTTTTTATACTTGTCCTTTTTGTCTTTCAATTTATCAGAGAGTTCTTTATGCAACCATGCTGGTTTCTTTTGAGAGCTATTATTTTTCTTCTTTGTTGATATTGAGCTAGACTGGGCTTTTATGATCTCACTTTTCAAAATTTCCCAAGCTTCTTGAGTTGTTTTCCCTTTGAGGATTCTCATCCATTGAATCCTTCCCAAGCTCTAAGTTTGTTGAAATTACCGTATTTTCCAGCATATAAGACGACTTTCTAAACCCTGAAAATCTTCTCAAAAGTTGGGGGTCGTCTTATACGCCCAGTCGTCTTATACGCCGGAAAATACAGGTATTCTATTTTATTCCTTTATATAAGCTGAGGATGCAATGGGGGCAGCGGCCGGGAGCCGCTGCCTCCCGTCCTGCTCCCCCTCCCTGGAAGCGATGGGGG